TTAAGTTCTTCCGCATCTTTTCTCTTTAAACCTTTCCAGAAATCGTATTGGACATGTCTCTTGATATTAATACATTTAAAAAAATGACCGGTTTGGTTTTAACGTCAGTAGAGTTCACACAAGAACACGTCTATTCAGGTCCTACAGGAGGAATGAATGAGGTCCCGTAGTCGCTGTCCGTGGTGCTGAACTCGACCCGGTGGGACCCCCGCTGAGCCGCGTGTGTCGGGCTCGAAATCTACGGATCATCTAGTGCTTTAATCTACAGCGTGAACATCGACCCCTCATTGCCCAACAAAGTGACACCAGGAGCTTGAATGCTGAAGCGTTTATTGGAGCTCGTGTTGGCGGGTTATAGAAACACGGAGCAGCTTTACAGAGAGAAGGAACACATCAGCAGATGATGATCAAACAAAGCCCCCCCCCCCCCCGTCTAATTATCATTACCCATTGCAAACTGTTCTTTTGCAGAGTAATTGAGAATCATCTCCCACTTTGTGAATGTTTCTCTGGTTCGGGTCGGCGGCTCGGGAAGCCCGCATGTTCAGTGGAGCGGGAGCCACCGGAACCGCAACATCTGGTGGCGCATCGAAGAGAGCTCGCTCTTCACGCAGCGGCAGATTGCCTGAGAGAGAGAACAGCGTCATCAGAGCACGTTGCTACATGTATGACGTGTGTAATGTGGTGTGAGGGAACACCACGTTGCGTGTGTTCAGGGTTCACTAACTTCTCCACACTAGGGGTGTACTCACCCGAGGTCTCAGTGCGTCACCGCGCTTTATGAAAGAGCACCAAGAGCAGGGAAAGGCGGTATAGCACACCTGGACGCAGGGATCTCGGATATCATGAAAACTCTCTCCCAATATATAACATCTCCAACAAAGGCGCAATTTTAAAAATTCCCCCCTTGGCACGAGCTCAGAGAGGAACCCCACCTTTTTCCCCCACTTTTGTTCCCTCTTAAATTGGAAAGTTAAAATTTTAAAGGGGTGACCATACTCTTTCAAAAAATTTTAAAACAACACTGGGGGGGTTTCTTGTGGGGGGGGGTTTGGGGCCCCCCCCCGGGTTGTTGTTTCCAACACTTTTTAAACAAACCCCCGTTTTAAGCTTCCCCCAAAGCCCTAAATATAACAACATCAACGTCTGTTTTCATAGTTTTGTTGAGCACAAACTCCATTAAAACGAGGACAGAAGTCCCTCAAACGTCCCCGTGACAGCATTTGATGAATCGTCCTGAAACAGAGAGAAGCTGCTACTCACCACGGTTCCTCCTGTAGTCTGATGGCCAGGTGGATCTTCTCCTCCCTCTTATTCTCTAAGCTCACAGCCTGTGGACGTGTCTCCAAAAGGATCATTTACATGATTAATCATCAGAGCAAACAGTGAGGGACAGTTTCCACGTCTCTGAGAGCGAGACGGTTGGAGGTGTGTGAGAAGAATCAACACTAACGTTTGACTTGGGATGCTTCACGAGGACGCTCAGAGGCTGCAGGCAGGTTACCTTCATGAGAGCGTTTGCTTTGGCATCAATAAAGAGCCCAAAGTGGAAGGGCGGGGACGACAAACATCAGTGGACAGACTCAATGTCCCTGAGTTGAGTTCATGATGCCCAACGCCCCCCTGAGGCCTCACACCGTGGACCCTGATCCCTCAGGGACACGAGGCCTCCTGGTGAGAGTCTGCGGGGACTCGTACAGGAACACGGCACCATGGCAACGGCAAATAACACGTGAAATCCAGGGTCATTTATACTTTTTACTCCCCGATTTGAACGTCTTCCAGGCTGTTTCTTCACAAGATGAGGTTGTTTAAATGTTTTCACAGGTTTTCTTTAATGACTAAAACATTTGATGAATAAATGAGTAACTACCGATGGAGCGCCTGCAATGTGTCGAAAGGAAAAATGCTTGGTTGGACTAACGAAGGAGAACATTTAAAAAAGTCACTGGCACACATGATGACCTCTCATTGTCCATCAAGAAGCACCGTGTGGAAAGGTGATGATGTAATGACCACGGCATACCTCAGCTGGCCAGCTGTTTCTACAGGAGATGGATGCAGAGCGTGCAGCCCTACAGAAGGAAGGGGGCGGGACCAGAGGCCCCGAACCTTTGATCCAACCTTTGGGCTTCTGCCACGTTGTGTGACGTAAGCGAGCATCTCGCACCTGAATCAGAGGCAGCAGGGACGCAAAAACGTCCCCACGGAGATGTCCAACAAGATCACAGCATTCAAGCCTAAAAGTGACCTATGGAAGTCCTAACTGGATCAGAACCATCTCGCCCACTTTCCTGGTTGTCAGAGCATCAAAACCTGAAGCCAGACCTAAACTTTAATCTACAAGAGTTCACAGCGGGTCACTGCAGGGCTGCAGGCTAACGGCATTAGCATAAACTCTACTACTCTCTGGTGGAGCACTGTAGCCGGAGAGCTAAATGCTAACATGTTAGCTTGGCATTAAATAGACTGTTTGGGTGTGAGTTGTTAATCCAGAGTAGGTATTTTAATCCCAGATGAGCACCGACCACTAAATTTAAAACAAGCACATCCTAAAAGACTAAAAGTGAATCAAGACACAAAGAGGTAACATGTATTTTTATAAATAAAGTAATTTTATCAGATTCCATTGACTTTATGATGATGCGTTCAAGCTCTACTCAGTACAAATGAGTGCTGAGTGAAGGTAAGATCATAACAGTCATAGAGCGTTTTTTTTTTTAATCTGAATTTGAATTGAAAACTTTGAATAAATCAAGGTGTTTGAAGTTACAGATAATTGGAAATAATTCTCATTATATAATTATTATCATTAAAACTAGAAATGGAAGATAATGTCTTTCATCAAAGCAAGGGATTTAGACTTTTTTTTAATGACATTTTAGACATATTTTGACTTTTCTTAAAGAATGTTTCATATATTTAGACTGTTTTTTTTGTATTTTTGACTTACTCACATATTTGGATTTTCTTTTAAAATAGAAATGTGTCTCAATATATTTTGACTTTTTTTTCAAATTATTTTTTGACGCAATATTTATTGACTTTGTTTTCATGACATGTTTTGACGTAACATTTTACGATTCCTTTTTTGACATCGTACTTTTTGAACATCCAACCCGACAGCAAACAGCTCTTCTCTTCTCGGCTCATCTTCAGAACTCTGCTTTAAGTTCTTCCGCATCTTTTCTCTTTAAACCTTTCCAGATATCCCAGTCTACATGTCTCTTGATATTAATACATTTAAAAAAATGACCGGTTTGGTTTTAACGTCAGTAGAGTTCACAGAAAGAACACGTCTATTCAGGTCCTACAGGAGGAATGAATGAGGTCCCGTAGTCGCTGTCCGTGGTGCTGAACTCGACCCGATGGGACCCCCGCTGAGCCGCGTGTGTCGGGCTCGAAATCTACGGATCATCTAGTACTTTAATCTACAGCGTGAACATCGACCCCTCATTGCCCAACAAAGTGACACCAGGAGCTTGAATGCTGAAGCGTTTATTGGAGCTCGTGTTGGCGGGTTATAGAAACACAGAGCAGCTTTACAGAGAGAAGGAACACATCAGCAGATGATGATCAAACAAAGCCGCCCACCTCTCGTCTAAATATCTATACCCAATCGTAAACGTTTCTTTTCAGAATAATTTCGAATCAACTCCCAGCTTGTGAATGTTTCTCTGGTTCGAGTCGGCGGCTCGGGAAGCCCGCATGTTCAGTGGAGCGGGAGCCACCGGAACCGCAACATCTGGTGGCGCATCGAAGAGAGCTCGCTCTTCACGCAGCGGCAGATTGCCTGAGAGAGAGAACAGCGTCATCAGAGCACGTGCTACATGTATGACGTGTGTCATGTGTGTGAGGAACAGCACGTTGCGTGTGTTTCAGGGTTCACTACTTCTTCACACTAGGGTTGTACTCACCGAGGTTCAGTGACGTCACGGCGTTGATGAAGAGCACCGAGAGCAGGACAGCGGTTAGCACAGCTGGACGCATGATTCCGGATTAATGAAACTTCTACAAATAATAAACTACAAACAAGGCAAATATAAAAAATAACACAATGACAACAAGAAGAGTACCAACATTTACCAACTATGTACACTATAAATAGAAGTAAATATGAACGTGACCAAACTCTGGGGATGTTGAAGCAACATGGTGGTTCTGTGGGGAGTAAAGAACCACCATGTTGTTTCAACACTTTAACAAACCCGTTAAGCTCCAAAGCCCTAAAATAACAACATCAACGTCTGTTTTCATAGTTTTGTTGAGCACAAACTCCATTAAAACGAGGACAGAAGTCCCTCAAACGTCCCCGTGACAGCATTTGATGAATCGTCCTGAAACAGAGAGAAGCTGCTACTCACCACGGTTCCTCCTGTAGTCTGATGGCCAGGTGGATCTTCTCCTCCCTCTTATTCTCTAAGCTCACAGCCTGTGGACGTGTCTCCAAAAGGATCATTTACATGATTAATCATCAGAGCAAACAGTGAGGGACAGTTTCCACGTCTCTGAGAGCGAGACGGTTGGAGGTGTGTGAGAAGAATCAACACTAACGTTTTACTTGGGATGCTTCACGAGGACGCTCAGAGGCTGCAGGCAGGTTACCTTCATGAGAGCGTTTGCTTTGGCATCAATAAAGAGCCCAAAGTGGAAGGGCGGGGACGACAAACATCAGTGGACAGACTCAATGTCCCTGAGTTGAGTTCATGATTCCCAACGCCCCCCTGAGGCCTCACACCGTGGACCCTGATCCCTCAGGGACACGAGGCCTCCTGGTGAGAGTCTGCGGGGACTCGTACAGGAACACGTCACCATGGCAACGGCAAATAACACGTGAAATCCAGGGTCATTTATACTTTTTACTCCCCGATTTGAACGTCTTCCAGGCTGTTTCTTCACAAGATGAGGTTGTTTAAATGTTTTCCCAGGTTTTCTTTAATGACTAAAACATTTGATGAATAAATGAGTAACTACCGATGGAGCGCCTGCAATGTGTCGAAAGGAAAAATGCTTGGTTGGACTAACGAAGGAGAACATTTAAAAAAGTCACTGGCACACATGATGACCTCTCATTGTCCATCAAGAAGCACCGTGTGGAAAGGTGATGATGTAATGACCACGGCCCACCTCAGCTGGCCAGCTGTTTCTACAGGAGATGGATGCAGAGCGTGCAGCCCTACAGAAGGAAGGGGGCGGGACCAGAGGCCCCGAACCTTTGATCCAACCTTTGGGCTTCTGCCACGTTGTGTGACGTAAGCGAGCATCTCGCACCTGAATCAGAGGCAGCAGGGACGCAAAAACGTCCCCACGGAGATGTCCAACAAGATCACAGCATTCAAGCCTAAAAGTGACCTATGGAAGTCCTAACTGGATCAGAACCATCTCGCCCACTTTCCTGGTTGTCAGAGCATCAAAACCTGAAGCCAGACCTAAACTTTAATCTACAAGAGTTCACAGCGGGTCACCGCAGGGCTGCAGGCTAACGGCATTAGCATAAACTCTACTACTCTCTGGTGGAGCACTGTAGCCGGAGAGCTAAATGCTAACATGTTAGCTTGGCATTAAATAGACTGTTTGGGTGTGAGTTGTTAATCCAGAGTAGGTATTTTAATCCCAGATGAGCACCGACCACTAAATTTAAAACAAGCACATCCTAAAAGACTAAAAGTGAATCAAGACACAAAGAGGTAACATGTATTTTTATAAATAAAGTAATTTTATCAGATTCCATTGACTTTATGATGATGCGTTCAAGCTCTACTCAGTACAAATGAGTGCTGAGTGAAGGTAAGATCATAACAGTCATAGAGCGTTTATTTTAATCTCAATTTGAAGTGAAAAACTTGTGTCAGGGATGTTGCGGGAAGCAGGATTCAAACGCAGACTTTGAGAAAAAAAAATCCTTTAATAGTCAAAAGGCAGGCAGGAACTAGAGACATTCGACAATGACGCGACAAGTAAATTGAGACACACACGGCATAAATACACTAGGGAGGTGCAGGTGATTGGACACAGGTGGAAACAATCAGACAATCACAGGGGATGACAGGACAAGGCAGGAAGTGAAGTTACCCAGGGAGACAAGATGCAGAAACTACAAAATAAGACAGGAAATAAAACCACACCGTGACAATTTGAATAAATCCAGAGGTTTGAAGTTACAGATAAAAGGAAATAATTCTCATTATATAATTATTATCATTAAAACTAGAAATTGAAGACAATGTCTTTCTTCAAAGCAAGGGATTTACTTTTTTCTATGACATTTTAGACATAGTTTTACTTTTCTGAAAGAATGTCTCATATATTTAGACTTTTTTTATTTTTGACTTCCTCATATATTTGGATTTTCTTTTAGAATAGAAATGTGTCCCAATATGTTTTGACTTTTTTTTCCAAATTATTTTTGACTCAATATTTATTTATTATTACATGTTTTGACGTAACATTGTTTTGATTCCTTTTTTGACATCGTATTTTTTGAACATCCAACCCGACAGAAAACAGCTCTTTTCTTCTCGGCTCATCCTCAGAACTCTACTTTAAGTTCTTCCGCATCTTTTCTCTTTAAACCTTTCCAGAAATCATATTCTACATGTCTCTTGATATTAATACATTAAAAAAAAAGACCGGTTTGGTTTTAAACTCAGTAGAGTTCTGACAAGAACACGTCTTGTCTCTCGCTTCATACAACTGATGTATAGTGTGTATGTACATATATTTATATATTTATATACATGTCAAATCCTTAACTCTTCCTCCACCTTCCGTAAATGAAACATATAAAAGTTGGAGGTCCTCTTGTTGTATTAAACTATAACTGTTGATAAAAGAGGAGCTCAGGTTCCATCAAAGCCATTCAGATCCTACAGGAGAAATGAATGAGGTCCCGTAGTCGCTGTCCGTGGTGCTGAACTCGACCCGATGGGACCCACGCTGAGCCGCGTGTGTCGGGCTCTAAATCTACGGATCATCTAGTGCTTTAATCTACAGCGTGAACATCGACCCCTCATTGCCCAACAAAGTGACACCAGGAGCTTGAATGCTGAAGCGTTTATTGGAGCTCGTGTTGGCGGGTTATAGAAACACAGAGCAGCTTTACAGAGAGAAGGAACACATCAGCAGATGATGATCACTTCGTCCTGCATATTTTTCAACGACATAGATACTCAAAAACATCTGCAAGTCTTTTAAGGGTTATGTCGTCCAGGTCGACTGCTTGGTCGACTGGCATGTTCAGTGGAGCGGGAGCCACCGGAACCGCAACATCTGGTGGCGCATCGAAGAGAGCTCGCTCTTCACGCAGCGGCAGATTTCCTGAGAGAGAGAACAGCGTCATCAGAGCACGTGCTACATGTATGACGTGTGTCATGTGTGTGAGGAACACCATGTTGCGTGTGTTTCAGGGTTCACTACTTCTTCACACTAGGGTTGTACTCACCGAGGTTCAGTGACGTCACGGCGTTGATGAAGAGCACCGAGAGCAGGACAGCGGTTAGCACAGCTGGACGCATGATTCCGGACTAATGAAACCTCTACAAATAATAAACTACAAACAAGGCAAATATAAAAAATAACACAATGACAACAAGAAGAGTACCAACATTTAGCAACTATGTACACTATAAATGGAAGTAAATATAAACGTGACCAAACTCTGGGGATGTTGAAGCAACATGGTGGTTCTGTGGGGAGTAAAGAACCACCATGTTGTTTCAACACTTTAACAAACCCGTTAAGCTCCACAGCCCTAAAATAACAACATCAACGTCTGTTTTCATGGTTTTGTTGAGCACAAACTCCATTAAAACGAGGACAGAAGTCCCTCAAACGTCCCCGTGACGGATTCAGCATTTGATGAATCGTCCTGAAACAGAGAGAAGCTGCTACTCACCACGGTTCCTCCTGTAGTCTGACAGCCAGGTGGATCTTCTCCTCCCTCTTATTCTCTAAGCTCACAGCCTGTGGACGTGTCTCCAAAAGGATAATTTCTGATTAATCATCAGAGCAAACAGTGAGAGACAGTTTCCACGTCTCTGAGAGCGAGACGGTTGGAGGTGTGTGAGAAGAATCAACACTAACGTTTTACTTGGGATGCTTCACGAGGACGCTCAGAGGCTGCAGGCAGGTTACCTTCATGAGAGCGTTTGCTTTGGCATCAATAAAGAGCCCAAAGTGGAAGGGCGGAGACGACAAACATCAGTGGACAGACTCGATGTCCCTGAGTTGAGTTCATGATGCCCAACGCCCCCCTGAGGCCTCACACCGTGGACCCTGATCCCTCAGGGACACGAGGCCTCCTGGTGAGAGTCTGCGGGGACTCGTACAGGAACACGTCACCATGGCAACGGCAAATAACACGTGAAATCCAGGGTCATTTACCCGAGCAAACTACCGATGGAGCACCTCCAATGTGAGGAGGGAGATGACTCATCACATCGTCCATGAAGAAGCTCCGTGGAAAGGTGATGATGTGAGATGGAGGAATTAAAGAAAACCTTTGATCTAACCCGGTTTGTAGCACCTGACCAGAGGAAAGAAGTCGCACATCAGGGTGCTGAAGTATTTAAGAAAATATGTACTATTTAATATTCCCAACAGAAATGTTTGAACCTAAGTTTTTTTTTTTTTATAACACTCATGTTTCAACGACATTGGTTTGTGTAGCGATATCAATATACATATATATATATATATATGTTACATTTTGTTTAACAGAAGAGGTTTTCTGCACTCGGTTCAGGTTGACTTTTCAATAAGTGCTCGCTCTCAATGCCCCCCCCCCCAGATTCACCAACTGTCCCACAGATGAGAAGATGACTCTCAAGGTCGGATGAAGAGCTTTGTCCTCCAGGAGGAAACATCATTTCTAAGTGTGCTGTTGTTTAAAGTTCTGGTAGCGACACGTTCACAGAGACAAACGGGAGCAAAATGTTAAGATTTTATTTACAAAGTCCTCGTGTGTTTTTTTGGTCGATTTTCCTTTAACTTACAGAAAGTAAAAAAAAAATAAAGAAAAGAAAAACACAACGTCAACTAGTCAGTGTGAGCGTGAAGGATCGACTGGATCTCTGAGCAGAAAGGTGGGGAGACATGAGGGACATGAGGGACAGTGTCCCCAGACAACAATACAAAATTAAACAACAACAAAAAAAACATTTCTCTGAAAAAATATTTCTTTTAAAAAGCTCTGTTGGCAAAAAAGAGAACACAGTTTGCCCCGAGGAGGAGGAGGAGGAGGAGGGGGGGGGGGGGAGGATGGGGGGCAGATGTCACAGCTGCCGGCTTTCTCCCACAGCGGCGACGCTCACGCGTCACTCGAGTTGGAATCTTCCACTTCACGTCTGCGGTTTAAAAATAATAATTTTGCAAAGCACGTCAGGATTAAAGACAAAGTAAATAACCTCAAAACATTTAGAGTTCACGCGTTTGTCCACATTTCTCTGAAAAACAAAAAAAACAGTAGCCCGAGATTATAACGGTCAATCGGTCGGCGGTTTATTGATTGACTGAATATTTCTGGGTGATTCATCTGAAGTCAAGATAACGTTAACGGGATCCTGCTCCCACAGTTATGGATCTCCAACCTTCTTTTTCACATTTCATTCTATTTGGGCTGAAAAACAAAACATCGGATTACTTTCTGCTCCGAGAAAATAGAAGTGGACTTTTTTTCTTAACAATTTTTGTATTTTATAGAAAAGAGTTGATGAAAAATAATCGCGTACTGTGCGCCACAAAGTGATCAAAACCTTTAAAGGGAACGTGGAGAAGTTATTAGATATTTTTGGAACTTTTGATGAGATGATTTTAAAAAGCCTGAAACTTCTGGATGGGGAGAAACTTTGGAAAAGATTGAAAAAAGAGGAACCAGTTTTGATAAATTAGGTTGGAGATGCAGGGAGGAGACGAGGGCGCAGCGGGAGGAGGCCGGCTGTAGAAATGGAACGCAGCCCAGGAGAGTGGAAGGAGGAGGCGGCCCAGCTCGGGGGTGGTGGTGGGGTCATTTAGGGGGGGAGGGCGGGTCAACAGGCAAGAGGTCAGGGGTTTACAGGGGTCCTTAATCATCTTCCTCCTCGTCCTCCTCATCCTCAGGGTCCCTCTTCCTCTTCTCTCCTTTGGCCGGAGACGAGTCCTCGTCTGCAGAAGACAAAACAACAACTACATTTTTAATTAATTTATGTAGTTATTCATTAAATAAAGGATATATCTACAGATATTTGAATTGGATAGTTATTTATTCCCCGAGAAATAAATTGTATGAATTTTCCCACTTCCTGTTGAAAGTGAACAATGCTGTAGTTTAACATTTCCATCCTCTGATGAAGAATCAACAATAATAATCAAAGAAGAAGTTATAAGTGGCGACTGACCGTCGTCATCGTCGTCTTCATCTTCCTCGTCTTCGCTGTCCAGGTCTCCGTTCACTTCTCCCTCCTGCAGACAGAGAACACCAGGTGAAGGGTTAAAAAAGTCCACAGCTAACGCGTTAGCTCCTCTCAGTGGAGCAGAATGCTAACATGTTAGCTTGGTATTAACAGAGTTGTGTAGGTGTTATAATTCTAGATGAGCGCCGCTAAACTCTTAAAAAGATACATACGCGTATTACAACTAAAGCAACTACCAGATACTAATTATTTATTAATTTAGATATATGGAAGGAATTACAATTATAGAATCATCATTAGTCTAAGTGATTGGATAAAATACAAGACTTGATTTATTTTTCATATCAAATAACCACACGAGTAAAAGAGCAATAGGACGTTTGCCATATTCGTCTTTGGGAGTGATGCGTGTTTTCCTCCGATGGCCATGCACTCACCTCTTCATCAGCGCTGTCGTCGGCGCTGTCGTCCTCTTCGGCCACGACGTCCTCCTCGTCTTCCTCCTCCTCTTCGTCAAAGTCCTCCGACTCCCCCTCTGTGTTCACACGAAGGGGCTGATTAATACCGATTAGGAGAACAGACGGGGGAACCTTTAGGAGACGTTTGAAGCGCTTCTCTTACCCAAACCCTCCTCGTCCTCGTCCTCCACGCCGTCCCCCTCCCCGTCCGAGTCGGACGCCTCGCAGTCGTCGATGTCGTAGCCGTCCAGGTAGGTGAGCTGGGGGAGGAGCTTAAAGATGGACTCCCTGTAGTCGGCCAGGTTGGTCACCTCGCAGTTAAACAGGTCGAGGCTCTTCAGCTGGGGCAACTTTTTCTGGAGGTTCAAGCAACGAAAACATCTCAAAACAGTTCATCTCATAAGACACGGCGCTGGAAGTAAACTCGGACTACTTTGGTTGGGAGTCGGACTGCAACCCACCAGCGGCTCCAGGGTGCTGATGTCTTTGAACTTGTTCCCGCTGAGGTTGAGGTGCGTCAGGTTCACCAGCCGCTCCGCCAGGACCTCCAGACCGCCCGATATCCTGTTGTCACTCAACTCCAACTGCAGAGGAGAAGAAGAGATGGACGGAGGAGTTATTTCAGCTGAAACAATTGGCTCATTAATCGTTATTCGTGACTGAAATCTGGTGTCCTGGATGTTTTAACTCCATTAATTGATTTGACCATAAAAAGGTGTCTGGATCTTTTAGCGTGAGGCGGAACTCTTGCCGTCACAGATGAGTAATAAGTGAGAATCTTTCTGCTCGGCGCGTTTACCTTCTTGAGTTTGTCCAGTTTGGGGATGTCTGCTACGCTGGTCAGGCCGACGTTGATGAGGCTGAGCAGCTCGAGGTTGGAGAACTCTTCTGTGATTCCTTCGATCTTTCCTTCTCCGGAGCGACAGTTGTCCAGAACGAGCTCCTGGACCTGAGGAGGGAAAGTTGAGACGGAGTTCTGGTGGATGGACGTTTAAATGGAGACAATAACAAGATGTGCTTCATTTTTATACCAGAATAAAACTGAACTTTAAATTCCAGTTGACTTTTCTAGTCATTTGAGACTAATTCAGAAAGCAATCGGATCAAAAGGCGCTCTGCAGTTATGAACGTGCCACAGAGATCAAGCAAAAAATGAATTCAAAATTGTTCTGTCAATGTTTCTAACTTTCAACCCCGAGTTGAATTGGTTTATTTTAGGGTAACGGTGCATTTCTTCTTGGAGGTTATGCATCCTCACACTCACACGGGTTTTGGGAGATTCATTTTCTGATAATATTAGACTATCACCATCGCCCAAAATGAAAGATTACAATAATCCTAATTTACCTAAGGTTAAAAGCTATTGATCCGCAAATCCAGCCAATGTGCACGCACGAGGACCGCCGGGCCTTTCGGCGCACGTTTCAGTTGCTTTGCAGCCGGTTTGAACAGCAGAAATCGGAGCGGTCACATGCAGCTCGGAGGGCGCAGTGGACCGAGGAGTCCTGCGCAGCTTCATGTTGGAACGGATCCCAGCCGAGACTGTTGATAAACTCGCGAACACATGTGACGCTGCAAAGTTAGCCGAGCTGCTCGCGCGCTGCTAACTGTCCCGGGCGCGCACTGGTCCACCTGGTTGCTCCGTGCGCGAGGGCGACAGGAGGCGCCTCGTTTCCAAAGGTTTTATTGGGGGGGGGTCCATCCATAATGGAGGCGAAGAAGAAAGCACAACAAACCCATGCGAAGTAGCCACTTTAGCACGCTAGCACGCCGCTGGCTACGCGCCTTTAGCCCGCTGGGGGCTTCGGCTAATCTCTGGAGCAGCGATTCCATCAACGACGATCATTTGGCTTATTTACAAATGTGGGGGAAAAAAAACAGAACAGCCGAACGTTTAGAAGCTAAAACGAGACGTTGTTGCGGTTTTAAAGGAATAATTGTGAGACTCGGCCGGCGTTTAAGTGCGTTAAACCGAAAAGGCAATGACGCATTTCCTGCATTGCACGAGTAATACACGTTAGAGAGACATCGTGACGACTGGGTTTTTACGTAACAACGTAACGTTGACCGTCGTCGTTGTCATATTTTACGGGTTCGTCGACTCTAGCAGACGTAGACGTTAATCAACCGAATATTAGAAAATCCGTGTCTCAAACCGTTCGCGTAAAGACATTTAACAACTTGGAAATGATGCGGCCCCAGACATTAGCCGGGGCCCGGCACACACGGATGAGCGTTCCGGGGCTCGAGCAGGAGGCGCTTTGCAGCCGCCGTTGAACGCGCGCAGAGGACGGACGTCAATCGTCCTTTTTCAGAACGTTCGGTGCAGGTTGGAGTGAAATGAGCGAGGAGAGCGACCATTAAAATGGAAACGAGGCGGTAAACAGCTGCGCACTCGGTGTGTTTACCCGGGGGGGGGGGGACTCGGGGACCAGCGGCTGTGGAGCAACGGTTTAAATGGTAGCTGTTTGGAACGGTCCCCGGTTGAATATCCGGTTGCAGCTTCACTTTAAGCCGTAGACGGTAACCGGTACATTTTAAGCACTTTTCTGCAGACACGCTGCCATGTGCTCGCCATCACTCCCCGTCTCCTGCCGGTCAAGTTTAACATAACGTTTACACCGAAAAACAACACCACAAACCCGGGCTACTCACTTCTGTCGGCGACCGGTGTCTTAGTTCTAAGGAGACTCTCTTCTTCATGTCCATTTTGCGCTGGTTTTGGCCTGAATTTGGGTCTCTGAGGTGCGAAAAACTTGTTTCTCCTCGAACCTCTCTCTTCAGTATCAACACGCGGAAACCTGCGTGAAGCTAGTTAGATTAAAAATGGAGGACTTCCGGACCAGACTTGAAAAATAAAGGTCTCGTCGTCTGGGCGGAAGTTGAAGCGAGCCATGTCCCAAGATGAATATCAATTTGGAACCGCAATATAATGCTTATTATACAAATACTATTCGATAGATTACTTATTATGCTACACATTTTAATCTTGTATGGCCTTTTTATTTACTTTCTACATTATTATGAAGGAAAAGAGATGGACTTCCGTTTTGTTCTATCTTTCCCACCGAGCTTGACACAGAGTGAAACGTTCCCGTGGCGTGCGTGAAACGTGAGTCAAGCCGTTTGCTGCTTTTAATTGTCCTCGACAGTAAATACATTTCACATTATCGACTCAACGCATGAATAAAGCAAGTTACAGATTAAATCAAAGCTCATCTAGCAGCATGTGATACAACCTTCACCTATCAGTAACATGTCTTTTCCCTCTTATATTTTAATAACTTCGCAACTTCCTCCTCCTCACTCTTCCAAGACGCTGGATTTTACAAACAAACAATAAAACTGAGGAATAAATATGTATTAGCTAACCTCTGATACAATGTTAATGACATATTTAGGTGACTTCGCGCAAAGACGGCACATTATCTGCCACTAGTCTATAAAATTCGATTCTTTCCGAGGCACGTGAACACGTCATGTTAATTTCTAAAAGGAGGGAAACCTAACGACGGCAGGAAGGTCTCCATAGCGCCGGTGGCGGCCATTTTGGCTCAATTGCGTAAGGAAAAAAAATGCTGAAACGTCACTACTGTGGTGCTCAATACGGCCAGAGCACAGATTGAAGGCTATTCAGATACAAATCAAGTCAATTTATAAAACTAAAATTGTTCATTTGAAGTCCTATAGTGGCACCATAGTGGGTTTTCTGCACAACATGTTATTATTGAATATCCTTAATATACAGCATGTAACCTATTTATTACCATATAGTATAAGTATTAAATTAATCAGTTGAGACCACTTGAGAAGTAATATCACAGTATAAAGGTACTCCATCACAAGTAACATTTTTGCAGTCAAAATGTTTCTTAATTAAAAGCAAAATAATTTTACTGAAAATTAAAATTTCAAGAGTAAAAAAAGAGCCGTACTGCAGAGTGGTTACTGTGTCATATTATATTTTTAGATAGATATTAGGTTAAACCTTTCTAGTGCTTTGTGTCGGTCAAGATGGAGCTAATTGTAAGTACTTTATATGTTTTAGGGGATTCAAAGAACAATATTTCTAAAGTGGGATTTTGATATTGTTTGCCCAAATCAATTTCAAGTTAAAAGTCCTTCTATAGAGAGTACATGTGGAGAATGATTTACACTTTTTTTTAAATGAAAAAATGGATTAATTCCTCCATGACGAACCAATTGCACTCGTTCTTTTATCGTGTCTTTATTGTCATTACATTATAGATCATGTTCACGACAAGCAGTTATACATACAGTGGTCTTAGATTATATTATTGTCCAATAAAAAGAGAACAACAGTTAGTATCACAGCTACACCTTTCCATTCCCACGCCCCCCCCCCCAAAAACCCTCTTTCCTCCCATCCCCTCCCTGCACATTATACACCAACGTATTGGCAAATCACCAAATACGCAACAAGTTTGAGCAGGTTTGAATAAATAAATAAATACGTAAGTACGTACAAAACATAAATAAATATCAACGCATTGTGTGCACACACACACACACACACACACACAGCAGGGGTTGCCTCATTGTTTCACTTGAGATTTGGTGGAGTGGGCCTAAACAAGTGGAACTAAATATTAACAAATTGTAATTACCTCTTTAGGGGGCGGCACTGTGGTGTGGGGGTGAGCGCTGTCGCCTTGCAGCAGGAAGGTCTTTGGGGTTTTCTCCGGGTACTGCGGCTTCCTCCCACGGTCAGACATGCAGGACAGGTTCACTGGTGACTCTGAATGGCCCGTGGGCGTACGAGTGGGAGAGTGAATGCTTGTCTCGATGTTGTACCCCGTCTCCCGCCCGATGCTACCTGGGATCGACTCTCTCAGGACACATGTAACTAATTATTCTAGCTAAGTGTTCTTAGTTTGGTTTCGAGTCTTTATGCTAAGGGCACTGACGCTGCTGTGTAAAACCTTGTCATCCAACTCACACCAGCCAATAATAAGATTATTCTTTCTATTCTATCCCAAAACAGTGACCTCTTCCTGCAACCATTAAATGGTTGCTTCATGCTTTGGAGAGTCAACGCTGAGCTCAGCTAACTGGTCTCATGTAAAACACAAGAGTCGTTTCAATCTTTATAAAAAGCAAATAAAAAGTCCTTTTCAAGGAGGCAATAGTATACATACAAGATTTTAAGATTGTAACATGAGTCATTCAATTTAGCATAATTCAACAATCCCTCATCTTGACTGATTGCCAACTAAAAAGCTATTCTCTTAAGCTTTAAACCAAATCCAGAGAGGACCAAAGCTTCGTCTGGAGAGCAACTCTGTACAAGTCCCTCATTGAGGTTAGAATCCACGCCAGATGCAGGGGGGGGGGGGGGGGGGGGCAGCACAAACAAAAATACAAACAAAAGAATCAAAAGAGCAACAAAATGCTTGTCTAGAAAAATTCAAGGATGTCTTAAAGCACTTTGTAATTTATACAGCAGGAGCGTGTCGAAGGATTCTATGATTCTAACATCCAGCGGGAGAAACTTCTCCCCCCATTTTTTTTTGGGAGAGTCCAACAACAACCCGTTAAGGGTTATAGAACAATCAGAAACAGAGTCAGTTAGTTAGTTTATTATTGTGTTCATATTATTATTGTAGACAACCTCCTTTGGCAGTGGAGTATGGAATGCCCTTTTAGTCCAAATTAAATAAATGAATAAATACGTAAATACATGAAATATGCATTTAAAATACATCATGAAATAAATAAATGAGGCAATAAATACATAAATATTAAATACATTTAATTATTTCATGGTACTTTTATTTCATAATGCCACTTTTAATTTCATGGTACTTTTATTTCATAATGCCACTTTTCATTTCCAGAGTCTTTTATTTCATAATGCCACTTTTCATTTCCAGAGTCTTTTATTTCATAATGCCAATTTTCATTTCCAGAGTCGAGTATGAAATAAAAGACTCTGGAAATGAAAAGTGGCATTATGAAATAAAAGTACCATGAAATAATTAAATGTATTTAATATTTATGTATTTATTGCCTCAATTATTTATTTCAAATACATATTTCATGTATTTATTCATTTATTTAATATTGACTAAAACGGCATTCCATAGTGGAGACGTGTCCGAGATTTTCTTTCAGCCGTGTTATTGTTAGACTGCCATTTATTGCCTCGGTATTCAAAGGTTATTGACTGTGGGGGATCATTCCAAATCTCTGGTAGAAAAAAAACAATACATTATTTTTGTTTTTATTATTATGTGTTATGAAAGCACCGTTAAGTATTTTAATTGGACTTAAACTTTGTCATCATCGATGACAAATGGAAGAAAAAACACGCTGGAAACCTGGGGAATTATTACTTATTATTGTCCACTACGTGATCCATTTATAGCTGCTAATGGACTGTGTCGACTTGTTGCCGCAGAATACTCAGAATACATAAAAATGAAGTAGAAGTACATTTTTTAATCACCAAAATGGTACTGTATAATTTCTGAATATACTTTAAAAACCTCATAGCTTCTCGTTAAAAATGATTGAGACACGCTACTCATGAGCTTTGTCACTTTCTCCATCATGCAGCGGCGGATTCTGGGGAAAACATCCTGAGTGTGAATCAGGGAAGTGGAAAAGAAGTTTGACAAATATTCTTTTGTCTAAAATTCGTCCACTTAAGTACACATTTGTGATATTAGCTTGATTTTGGTTGAAGCAAAAAAGTTTGGTCCAGTTCACGGCGGTAAAGCCGTTGCTTACTGACGTGATCACGCCCGCTGTTGTCATGTAAACGTCATATCTCACATAACCACCCTCACATTTCACAATGACTCGTTAGCAGTAAAGAAAAGGCAGAAAATGTGACAATAATAATGCATAATACAATAGTTTTGGGAGCCAATGTTTCCCAAACAAATGAATGAAACGAATGCGCAGCGAATGCCAGCTCGGCTACCGCGGGGAGCTAACGCGGCTAACAGTTTCCTCCAATACTAATAAAAAACACTGGACGGCTGCCTCAGTACCAATGTCCCACAATGCAGTGCGGTGGGGACGCTAACGCTAATAGCTAACAAAAGAGCGGATAGCTCTGTAGCGCTTTAACGTGAGTTTACGTATGAGACGTCACCCTGGTATGAGAAATACATTGAGCTCCGATGGGTTACCACGGTTACGCGTCACGGTAGTTACGGCTCTCTTTCCAGAATGTCGCGCAAGAACCTTTATGAGGGATCCAGAACTGTGGCCGGAATCCCGTAGACTCCTACGCCTTCTGGAATGTTTAGTGGGATAAAGGTCACCTCCCGAAATCCAAACCACATATCACCCGCAGGGCTTTATATCAATCTGGATTATTTCAAGACAAGTCAGACAAATACCTCCCGGCACTCAGCCTTCACGAGTGTCATCGAAGGCCGAGGACGCAAAGCAGGAATTTCAGAACGCCTGAAACCTTTCACACAGTCGCACAATCAAAAGAAGCCACATATAAGACGAGGTAACGAGGATCTAACCCACACAGCAGACACAAAACACTGTGCATGGTTAAGTCAGAATAGTACACAGACCCTCTTGGTTCCGTTCGACTGCCGCCTGCTGGTGGTTTTAGCATATCGCTGCTTCCTGGCCAAACACAGTTTTAACTTTTAATGTTTATCGACGAGTTGGGAGAAGTTTCCCGACCCTCGAACATCAAAAACGTCCCCATTCATAAGACAAAAAGGTGTACGTTCCTTCTTCATTCTGTAAAAATCGACGTATGGCAGGTGCGACTTTTAATCCAAAGGTAATGTGCTGATGCTGCGCCGTTAAAAAACACAGCCGCTGAGACTCAGACGCAGAGAGAGAGGGAGCATTTTACAGGAGGTACAGTAGAACAGCAGCAGCTGGGCGGGTGACGCACCGCTGGATGGGGGGGGGGGGGGGTTCAAATCCCCTGCTGAGAGAGCGGTAAAGCACACAGGAGGGCAGGTCAGCCTTGTTGCCCTCTGCCACTCCTCACCCCCCCCTTTCCTTCTTCTTCTCCTGTAATCCCCGTCCCACCGCCCCCCATCTCACGCCACCCTCGTGTCCTTCATCAGGTGGAAGCAAGAAGTACAGAAGAAGAAGGAGTGGAAGGAGGGAATAGTTTTGCAGTTTTTTTTCCGGGGGTACTAGATCGGGTTCGGTGGGGGTGGGGGGGGGCGTCGTCGCCCTAACGAGGAAGCGGCACCAGGATATCCACGTAGTTGATGGGGAAGAAGCCCGACTGGCCGTTGATCATGCCCTCGTACCAGTTGTCATCGATCTGATTGGTCAGGGTGATGACGTCGCCCTCCTTGAAGCCCAGCTCGCCTTCGTTCTCCGGTTCAAAGTCGTAGAGCGCTCGGCAACAGGGCTGGTCCAGGGGGGCTGGGACGCATTAATATTATAGAATGTTTCAAGTTTTTAAGGGCCGACAACCTCTGTACTCAAGTTCCTTAAACTTGCATTCTTTCTAATGTCCATCAGGGGGCAACCTGTCAATCAGTGTGTATCCCCGCCCTAAAGTGTCCCCTTCTTTACGCCTGCACTAAATGAACATCATGCTGTAAACTAGAGAAACTAGACTACTACTAGACTAAACTACTTGAAACTAGAGACTGAAACCATAAACTCATGTTTACAATGTTGACTGAATAAATTAAGAGAGAAGTAGTAGAGAAGAAGAGTCATTTTCTCATAGACTTCTATGGGAGCAGAGGAGTCTCCCCCTGGTGGTCACTTTAGAGAATGCGAAAAGCATCTATTAGAGCATTTATGAGCCCAATATGATTCCACAAGATACAGCATAGGAACGGAGGTTCAGAGAAATGCATTGTGGGATGATGTGCTATTCTTGCTTTCTCATGCAGTCTGACAAGGAAATTAAGTTCAACTTCTTGTCGTTTGGCCAAGCACTCATTCAACAACCCAGAGAACCCCCCCCCCCCCCCGCTCGGTACCTGGTGATCTTCCGGGCGATTTGGCAGAGTGGATGCCCCCGTTGTGGCTCTCGCTGGGCGGCAGCAGCTCCAGGGTCATTCTGGGTTTGGGGGCGTACTCCTTCCTGGGCTTAGCGGACACTTCTTTTATCCTGGAAGCGCCAGACACAAAAAGATTAAAACACCAGCTTTTTCGATCGGTTCTCGTTGACCAAAAAGGTCAGCGCACACAGGGTGATGACTACCTGTCCTCCATCTTGCTGGAGAGCTGTTGGAGGATCTCAGCAGAGCGGCTGTGGTATTCCAACTGAGCTTGAACCAACGCTGCCAGCTGGCTCACCTGCTCGATCTACAACATACACACACACACACCTTTCTGTTTTCCAACAGCTCAACCTGTCCTGTATCTGAACCATGCTGGGCCATGCTGGTCTGGCCTGGCACAGGATTCTGCAGTTCCCCTGTCTCCCGGTCTACATTTAACTCTATCAAGGTCAACTGATTACTACTGCGAAGCAGACTCGAGCTGCGTCGACTGATAGCCGATCATCTACAACTATTCCGATCATTCAAGTTCATTTTCAAGCAAACACGGTGAATGATTCCGGCTTCTGAAATGTGTTGCTCTTGTGTTCCTCTTACGAAGGGAATTAAACATATTAGTTTTGGGTTTTCTTCATGGATGAAACAAAGACACTTGAGGGATCTCGGTAATAACTGGCAGACATTATTAAAGAGAAGTCCTCACGTCGCTCTCCAGCAGGTTGAACATGCTCTGCTCGGCCACCTCTTTGCTCTCGTCGAACTTCTCCAGCGCCTGCTTGATTTCGTCATCCTGGACTTTTCCCTGCCGCTTCTTCTTGTAGTCGAAGTCCAGGCGGCGGCCCTCCATCTTCTTCAGGTGGTGCTGCAGTGGAGGGGCCATCAGACGACGCGGAGGGGAAAGAAACACAAATGGGTTCGGAGACCTTTTAGGACCTTTTGATAAGCTCTTACACAGCCTCTGTAACACGTAATGTGACTGTCATCCATCACGTCTTCTATTTTTTACTCATACCTGAAGGACTTGTCCATCAGATGACCTTGTGTCTTCACCCCAGAGGATTTTGTGCTCACCTGTATCTCCTTTAGGTCTTTGTCGTGGAGGTTCTGCAGCGGGTCGATGAAGTTCTGTTTGACCTCCATGTCCAGAGCGTCCTTCACCTCGCCGAGCTCCTTCATCGCTTCGCTGGCATCAATCAGTGCCAGGCCTTCGCAGACGGCACGAGAGGCAGAGAGAAGTGATCAGTTATTGCTCTCTTGTTATTGTGTGACTCATTGTTGGAGCATTTTTACAACAACTGGTCCACTGACTCTGGAAACTGGGGGTAAAGGAAAGCGGCTGACGCCCCTCTGAGCTAACACGCCATTAGTAGAACACAGCACCCGTAGATGTGTGTGTACTTACCGAAGCTGGACTCGTCCCCGAGCTCCCGTCCGAACCGCAACATGGCGTCTCCCAGGACGCTCTCGGCCTGCGGGTACCCAGGCCCCTTGTCCTGCCCGCGGATCTTGGACATGGTGTTGATCATACTCAGCTTGGCTCTGGACGCTGCGAGGTGGCGAGGGTTCAAAACGTCAGTGCCTGATTTGCGCGCGCTGTTGCCGTGGCAACCCGAGTGCTTGTGTGGGTTTGATACCTGGGTTAGGTTGAAGGTACTCTGTGGTTTTGGTCATGATGTCCAACACCGCTCTGCTGGTGACGTCCACCTTCTGCAGGGAAAAACACAGCGGGGGTCGTTGTGGGAGACGACCGTTATGTCCGCTATGAAGCTACAGCCGCCTGCAGGGTAGCTTAGCTTAGCATAAAGACTGGAGATGGAAGGAAAAGAGATCCGCCAAGAACTCTGAAGCTCAACAAGTCCAAACAAAGTGCTCGCTCTCGGGGGGCCAGATTGTTTATGCTAAGCTAAGCTAACCGGCCATAGCCGTCTACCGTGTTAAATCCCCTGAAGCCGTAAGAATGAGGGAGCTTATTTTAGATATATTCAAATATCTGACCTGCACCAAAACAAGAAAAACTGACATATTTAATGTGAACTGTTGCAGAAAGTAGATGTTTGGAGCATTTAAGACTTAAAACACTTCAACAGGAATGTGACTGTGAAAGAAAGGTTTTCTACATTTAAATGCCATCTATATTTAAATGTTTTATTCTTTTATAGTGGTTTGATTTTCTTGAGGTGTGGATTCAGTATATAAGTATTTACCTTTTCCATTTCCTTAAAGTCATCGTCTAGCTTGGTTCCTTCTGCTCCTCCAACCTTCTCACTGACTTTCTGCAACAGAAATCACAGAAAACAGATAAATGTACATATATATATATATATATATATATATATATATATATACAGTATATATATATATATATATATATATACATATATATATATATATTATGAAAAACATACACATGTATGTACATTAATACACATCAATGCACACACACCTTGGCACCTCTGTGTTTGTTAGTGAGGACATGCTTATACCAAAGAGACACACGTGTGTGTGTGTGTGTGTGTGTGTGTGTGTGCGTGTGTGTGTGAGAGAGAGAGGGCGAGAACAGTAATGAAAATAATAAGTGCGTAATGAAATACAAAAACAACAGGAAGTGAGAAGGACAGACAGATGAGGATGAAGATGCAGTTGCCATGGAGACAGGAATCTGACTGGGTGCTCCCATGTTTCCAAGAACCACACACACACACACACACACACACACACACACACACACACACACACACACGCGCGCGCGTGTGCAGAGATGAGAACCTTCTAGACCACTGAGGCATGAACTGAACTCCATCTGTTCCCCTTCCTCCCCCAGCTATATTTCTCCATCTCCTCCTCGCCGCTTTCTTCACTCCCTTTGTCTCCCGTCTCTCTCCCCTTCTTGGCTTCCGGCCCTTGTCTTCTCAGAGCACCATCACAAGGGGCTCACGGCGAGGAGGTCACGGGCCGCGGCGCCCTGACAGCAGCAGGAGGAGCAGAGATCTCCTCCTGCTCTGCGGAGGACATCGATCCGGCCCGGAGGACAATCAGGACAATGAGAACCGTTCCAAAACACAGCAGCATCTTGCACCGGAGATGGATAGAAGGCTGGATTGAGAGACCTGCAGTGCTCGGATCGAATCGGCCGCAGCGTCATCTGAACCCCTTCAATGGTTCGGTATAGAAGAAACTGGAGGGAACAGAACGCGTGTGGCCAAAGCTGAGTCGGCAGTTTCTAGAGATGTTTTTCCACCAACCTGTTATTGGAAAAGACAAAGGGAGATTTTCATGGGACGAATTGGAGGACGAGCTCCCTCTTTAACTCGACTCTGCGACCTTTGTGAAGCCGGATTATCTTATTTTGGAGGTTAACGAGTCTTCTGTTGCTTACACGTTTCATCGTCCGTTTCATGAAGGGAAAAATCCTTAAAAAAATATCAGGATTAATTCACAACAAAACACGAAACAAAAACTTTCGTTTCTGCGCCAGGTTCCTCTGAGCAGCGAGGACATCATCAGGCATCATCAGAGGTTCAGGAAATGATGAAGAACCCCAAACGTCTCTTCTCTCCCCCGGATAGAAGCTTCGCCTCAGACGAGGAAACGTGAGACGCAGCAGCTGTTTAATCCCCACGCAGAGAGACGGAGGCGCAGGAGGAGACGAGGGAGACGAGGCTTCCAATCAGTTTGAAGAGATAAAAAGACATTTAAAGAGACAGAAAGGGAATTAAGTCAGAGAAGCAAACAGACTCGTCAAAGCCTGCTGTGTCATCTGTGTTGAGACGGGATTAAACAACTGTTGGAGCCATTGTTGTCCAAACTCAGTACGCTAATTAGCCATGCACTTAGTCCCGCCCCTTGGCAGCGGACTGGCCAATCGCGGCAACGTGCAATTCCCGCAGGTTGTCGGTGCTCTGCAGATGCATGTTGACCGTCGGTTAGATTCCTGCAGGAAGCCCGGATAGGACAGCAACAGTCGTGCATTGTTAACACCACCAGGGGAGGAAGAGGAGGAGGACGGACCGGCAGGGGTATATATATAGTCTGTGACGTGTTTGTTTTTGGAGGCGGGGCTTGAGTCATGAAGATAACTCATCAGCTGCTTTATAATGACAAACCCAGTCCTAAACCCGAAGCCTCCTGGGAAACCTTCCCACGTCTCCTTCTGATGGAATAATGTGCTTCTTTGGAGCCTTTCCGCAGGTCACAATGTGGCAAGAAAGGGAGACTTTCTGTCCGTGCAGCTGCAGCTGGCTCTTCAGCTCAGGACGGATGAGGCGACAAACACAAAGACACACAAAGCGCAGAAAGCCGCCGTAGGGCGATCACTCCGACTGGAGATGGTGTGTGAGGGAATGACTTTAGGCCGCACGGCAGCTCAGCGATATGTTCAGTGCGTCAATGTAATGTGACTGAAAACACAAAGATAGGAAAGGGGAATAAAGAAAGAGCAAGAAAGGAAAGATAAGTGGATGGTTTGTCTCCTCTGCTGTGAATCGATTCTCTTGTTCCAGAAGATTTATGGTCTGCAACCACACACACACACACACACACACAATTAGACCTGTCCGATATCTTTAGAGGAGGCAGGACCATCAGACGGACGTCACTCGGGAGACGAATCCTTACTGGTGTTGAGGTTGAGAAGTTGCAGGACTTTATTTCTGTGTGACATTCAAACCGACCAATGAGAATGCCCCCTGCCTCAGCGAACAAAACCGGCACACTTCCGGGCTCTCTTCAAGAGGCGAACCGACGGCAAGGAGGTCAGGGGTCAAAGGTCAGACAGACAAACCAGAAGGTTCCGGGAGCTCTCACTCGCCCTCCGTCTGACGCTCCGGCACCAGCGACCATCAATTATTGAGAGAGCCAACCAGAGCTCGGCGAGCTTCCGTCACGCCTGCTTTCTCTTCACACACCCACGTGTGTGTGTGTGTGTGTGTGTGCGGTTGCCACGACAACACGGTGCCGAGGGTTTGGCGTGGAGGCAACGGAGAGAGAGAGAGAGAGAGAGAGAGAGAGAGAGAGAGAGAGGCGGAAGTCTCATAGGAAAGTCTCTTTCCTATCAAAAAGATAATATTCTCTAGTTCTTGTTCAAAGTTCCTGTTGTTATTACTCGTAAAAGGGTTTGAAGGTGATTTCTTTGTTCAGTTTGTTTCTAAATGTTGTCATTTTGTCTTAAATTGGGCTTATTTATTTGTCTTTAATTGCCGCTTTATTTTGAAAAGCTCTGACCTTTTATAAACTATGAATTTCTTGTTCTACCTCTTCTCTCCTTCATATCCATCCTCTCCTCTTCCTCACTGGATTCTCACTGTCCTCAAGGTCTCATTCATTCAATTAAAAAGGCCTCAAAAAGGGTATAAAAGTGACTTTTTGGCGTTTTCTGGATTTCTGTTGAGCTTTGATCCGATAAAGTCACGCCTGCTGATGTTTAACAGTAAATAATACGACTATAAACTCCATATGAATGAAGTAATCCTGAGCTCCACATTTTGACTGGCAACGTTTTGCTGTACGACAAAACAAAAACACGGTCTGAGAGCCAACAACATCGTGGTTTGAGACCTGTCAATCAGTGTAAGCCCCGCCCTGAAGCATCCCCTGCTGTGTGGTCTGCTCGTTGAGTCATTTTCTCATAGACGTCTGTGGTTGAAGTGGATGGATGAGTTGGTGGAAACTTTACAAACCTCCTCAAAGAAGTAGTCTTGGTGCTAGACGTAAGGTGCTGAATAATCTCCCTCGTGTGGCGAGTTGGGATGAAAAGTACTTAACAAAGAATGTTTAGTATTCATCATCAATCATATTTTATGAGTAAAGAACATTGTCTGAGTGAAAATGTGGAATTTTGCAAAAACTACTTAAATACTAGGATAATTATGTTTAAGCAACTGGAAGGCTTTTATTGTGAAAAGTACTGAAGGTGGGTACTTCAACTTACCGGAAATTTAACTATGAAAAACTTTAAAAGCGGGAATAATAATATTGAAAAACGGCGGACGAGGTTCACATGGGGGACGTTTCAGCGGTGAGTAATGAGCAGGAGCAGATGAGAAACAGGAAGTGCTTGTCACTGACTCGCCTTCTCTCCTCTGTGCACGTGTGATCGTTGATCTCGCTCGCCGTCATGTTTTATTCAGCCAGGTGACACCAAGGTGTCTCGTTTCTCGCCGCTGATGGCGGCCAACTTGGTTGTGAGGGCCGGAGGACTTTGTCTCTGGTTGTTTTGGTCCACACACGCACACACGCTGGGACGTGTCCTGCACTCTGCAGGAAGCCGCTGTTTGCGGCGTAAAGTCTTAACGTTTGCTGCTCTCGTCTAAAAATAATCATCAGCAATCACCCGCCGCCTCTGATGCACAGCATCCGCCCGTTGCCCACGGTTACATGTCCGATGGACCGGATCACCACTACAGAGACAGGTTCAAATCTCATCTGGATCATAATACAACATCTCTCAGTGAGAGATGTTGTACTTTGGAAATAACGCCTGGATATATTCTCTATGTTTCATTGTGCTCAACAGGCTGCAGTTCAGACCACACAGCAGGGGGCTTTAGGGCGGGGCTACGCGCTGATTGACAGACGTTGGCCTGGACACTGGATAGCTTTGTCTTCACGATGCGGAGCAGAGCAGAACGTCTCCTTGGTCATCACACTAATAAAGTCACAACCAGCACGACACCTTGGATGCCGTTTGCTCAAAGTGACGTCTCCATAATGTTTGCTTCGTCCGAACCTAATTAATGATCAATCATCATCATCAACCGTGTCGACAATGAGAAGCAGAAAGTCAAGCGAGAAGACATGTTTCCCTCTGAAGGGGGAGGGAAAGTACTTCTGTGCAGTACATGAGTGTACTGCGTTACTTCCCGCCGTGCTGCTGGTGATTTCTACTTCCTGTTGTGATCCTCTCTTCATCGCATCACACGTGCAGGAATCCTGAACTATTTCACTCACGAGAGACGGATGCTGGTCTTTTTACATCAAAAAATTAATTAACTATATATTAAACAAACATTTTTGGAAGATTCCTACCAGATTGTGGGTTTCGTTTGAAAAAGGAATGTGTGAGCAGCCTTCATGCTGATCGCGGTGTAGTGAGTCAGATCTACGAGGTCCTGCAGCCTTCAATGGCGTCTTAAAAGCAGAAAGCTGCACGGAAACAGTCTCATGAAACGCATGAATCAACCAAAGGTGGTTGGTAAACTAACGCATGAATCTGAACGTGAGGAACGTGAGGAACGTGGAGTGAACTCGTTGCTATGGATACGACTCGGCTTATAATTAAACAATGTTGAGGATTTAATGTCGAGCTTAAAGAGAGAAAAGTGAGTTGACTTCTGACGTCCAACTCATGTTTCCCTCATTCTCTCATTTTAAATAAAGAAGAAGGGACCTTGAGTTGGGATTTATAAATAATAACGTGACCAAACAGCACGACTGCAGACAAAGAGGGTTCAGAAAGCAAAGAGAAGAGGTGGAGGTTTGAACCGACGGTTTTGGGTGGAGGCCGAGTCTGGAATGGAGAACAGAGAGGGATGGAGATAGAAATGATGGATGGGTGAAGGAGATAAAGAGGGTGGAGGGATGGAGGAGATAGGGATGGAGGAAAGAGAGATGATGGAGGGATGGAGGAGAGAGAGGATGGAGGGATGGAGGAGTGAGAGATAATGGAGGAGAGAGAGATGATGGAGGGATGGAGGAGTGAGAGATGATGGAGGGATGGAGGAGTGAGAGATGATGGAGGGATGGAGGAGTGAGAGATGATGAAGGGATGGAGGAGTGAGATATGATGGCGGGATGGAGGAGTGAGAGATGATGGAGCAGTGAGATATGATGGCGGGATGGAGGAGTGAGAGATGATGGAGGAGTGAGATATGATGGCGGGATGGAGGAGTGAGAGATGATGGAGGAGTGAGAGATGATGGAGGGATGGAGGAGTGAGAGATGATGGAGGGATGGAGGAGTGAGAGATGATGGAGGGATGGAGGAGTGAGAGATGATGGAGGGATGGAGTGAGAGATGATGGAGGATGGAGGAGTGAGAGATGATGAAGGGATGGAGGAGTGAGATATGATGGCGGGATGGAGGAGTGAGAGATGATGGAGGAGTGAGATATGATGGCGGGATGGAGGAGTGAGAGATGATGGAGGAGTGAGATATGATGGCGGGAGGAGGAGTGAGAGATGATGGAGGAGTGAGAGATGATGGAGGGATGGAGGAGTGAGAGATGATGGAGGGATGGAGGAGAGAGAGATGATGGAGGGATGGAGGAGTGAGAGATGATTGAGGAGTGAGAGATGATGGAGGGATAGAGGAGAGAGAGATGATGGAGGAAAGAGAGATTATGGAGGGATGGAGGAGTGAGAGATGATGAAGGGATGGAGGAGTGAGAGATAATGGAGGAGAGAGAGATGATGGAGGGATGGAGGAGAGAGAGATGATGGAGGATGGAGGAGCGAGAGATGATGGAGGGATGGAGGAAAGAGAGATGATGGAGGGATGGAGGAGAAAGAGAGATGATGGAGGGATGGAGGAGAAAGAGAGGGATGGAAGGATGGAGGAAAGAGAGATGATGGAGGGATGGAGGAGATGGAGGGATGTCTTCAGTGGAGGTCTTGCTGCTCGATAGCAGATAAGAAGACGGACAGACAATGCGAAGAAGGAATGGAGGGAATTCCCTGTTGTCTGCAGCAACAGGGAATTGGCCCTGCGCGCGCACACACAAACACACACACAGACACACACACTCACACACACATACACTGGGATGGTACATTATGTAACAGATGAGGGGTGTGTGAGGGTACACCCTGCTACTGAATTCCCATCCACACTAGTTCATGTTCATACTGTCCTATTCTCACTAATATATTTACCCCATTCATACCGTCAACATATAACGGGATTTAATGTTTCTTTTTTTACAGAATACAGATAAAGTCACCATTTACATTTATTTATATTCATATATATCACATTGTTTACCTTTTATGCTGACCTGTATGAATAAATGTAGTACTGCATCACGCGTAAATACACTCTTACCTGAGTGGCTTTATGGAACTGCTTCTTGAACCCCGCGACAGACATCACTTGACCGGAGAAAAAACAGACAGGGCTCGATAAGATATTGAATATAGATGATTATAAATGAAGCTTTTATCCGCAGCTGTTGGGCTGAAGTCAGGGAAAGAAATCCTCCGATTAACGTCGATGTGGTCCGTTTATTTTACTCAAATCGGTGGTGGATGCCGATGATTTCCAGAACAAACCCAGGTGGAGAGAGAGAGAGAGAGAGAGAGAGAGAGAGAGAGAGACAGAGAGAGAGAGAGAGAGAGAGAGAGAGAGAGAGAGAGAGAGAGAGAGAGAGATACAAAGATCGTCTCATGCTGAGATGGATCACACGGCAGTAAACAAACCCTGCAGCCTCCAGATTGACAACATTAAATACATATTTCAGGCACAGGCAGGAGGTAATAATGTAAAGGTATAAATAATTACATAGAAAACACGCAAACCAAAGAAAACCATAAACATAATATGAATAATGCTATTGTTTATATATGTATATGTTTTTTAAAATATACAATAATTAAAGGAGGAAGAAGTAAATTATTAGACAAATTAATAATATAATGGATTAATAATATACAATTAATTAACACCGTGAGAGTTATCCACTCTCACGGTGTTTCAACGCACGGGGGGAAAGGAGGAGCTTAAACTCTGTCTTCTTCGTCCATCACAGACGATCTTCGGAGTGAGCGTCACGTTTCCTTTTACGTCAGCACGTTGCTTTCCGCCACCCGCGAGCCTCTTTTCGGCGCACGAGACATTCCGCAGCGCTGTTCCCTATTGCGTGCGTGTATATATGTGTGTGCGTGTGCGTGTATGTGTGTGTGAGTGTGTATGTGTGCGTGTGAATGTGTGTGTGTGTGTGTGTGTGTGTGTGTGTGTGTGTGTGTGTGTGTGTGTGTGTGTGTGTGTGTGTGTGTGTGTGTGTGTGTGTGTGTGTGTGTGTGTGTGTCAAAACGAGACGGGGCGATACGCCAGCATCGTCTGACGTGGTGTGGGTACCCGGATGAAGAGGTTCAGGGTTTCAGCACCCCGGACAGCTCATTTAAATGATTGTGGTGCGTTAATTCTCAGCCGGGAAATATATGCTTTACTTTAAATGGGAAAAAATTAAACACTTTGACGGGCTAAAACTGTCAAAGTTAAAATGGAATTGAACAGATTTGGGCGTGTAGCATGAAAATAGAAATTACACAACAACAGATACTAATTTTTGTTTGTCACACAATGCAAGGAGCAGGATGTGTAGAGCTACGAGCGAGCACTTTGTTGTTTGTTGGTGGGCCAACATATGAAAAGGTCTCTGTACCGGCTTCCCTCACATTGTTATTTCAACATATATTTTATACTGTTCATTACATGTGTCTAAATATCTTGTCCAGGTAAAACAATTAGAATGTGTTTTTGTTTGTTACTGGCATAACAACTTTGTGTTATAGACACATTTAAAAGAAGCTCAGCTCATCGTTGGGCTGGGATGCACTTTCTGATTAAAGCTGTCATCTAGTGGACTGTAAATGATTAATTAGGAAGTAATCCTCTATCGTTTTCAGTGGCAAAAATCTAATTTATTTGATTCATTAGTTGTACTTATTACGGTTATCTGTATTGGCTGTGTACTTAAAGTGGACAAGACAGGATGAACTCACCTCCAAGTCCAACACTGGCAAGTTAGTTTTTCAGGGAGCCAATCAGAGCAGACCGGTGGTCTTAAAGAGACAGTCGCAACACCAGCGCGCCTGAGAAACACGTTACAGCAGAAAAACAAAATACAACTATGAAGCCGCAGAAAGAAGAAACAAAACTGAAGTGATAGTTATTCTAAATGTTAAAGAGTGGAACTTTTGTTTTCAAATGGTCTGCTTTCATATGTATATTGTGTCTTTGTGTGTCATCAAAGTCTCAGATGATCCTCATTTGAATGTCATACAATCCCACAGCCAAACGGGACATTTCCCTTCTGAGATTTAGAGTATAAAGTTCCAACAGTTTAATATGATACCTTTAAGGCACATGCAAAAGAATCTCCATCATCGCACACGTAAACACAAAGAAGAAAAACGCAGATGGAATCGCACTCGCACGCAAACCACAGATATATAAAGACCTGCCAAAGCAGATCGTCAGTCCAGTCCGGAAACCAGCTGATAGAAGCTCAAGAAGACGCACTGCTGAAAAGTGAGTATCTGCTTTTTAAATCGATGTGTTTGAGTTTGCAAAGAAAACAACATTAATGCGCCACGTGTGTAAAGCCTCTCTCATGTCACAATGCATCGCTCTCCTATTTGGTCCTAATTGTCTCCTGTTGTCTTCTCCTCATCGAACCTCCTCATCAACAGTCATGTCCCTGAACTCCTCGTCCCCATTTAACGCCTCTCACCTTCACCCGCACGTCTCCTCCTCCAATTCCTCCCTCGTCCCGAACATGGAAGTCTGCTTCAACTACAGATCCGGCTTCCTCATCTTCATTGCCTTCTGCTTCACCGACGTCCTCCTCCTCCTCCCTCTCTGCCTCCTGGTCTTCTACCTGGGCGTCCAAAGATGGCGGCGACAGGGCTCCAAGGCGGCCAGCCACTGTGATGTCTTCACCTACCACTTGGTCGCCACGGAGATGATCTGCGTCTTCGGGTGCGCCCTCTACTGCTGCGGCGCCTTGGCCGACGCAACGTTGTTGGTGAGGATCGGCGCGTACGTCATCTCAGTCGCCACCAACGGGCAGGTTCCCTTCCACATCCTCACCTGCGTGGAGCGCCGACTGGCCGTCGTTTATCCGATCACCTACCTGCGGCTGAGGGAGAGGGGCGGGGTCAGGATCAGGAATGTTGCCGTCGGATGCGTTTGGCTGTTTTTTCTCGGGTTGTTTGGCCTAAACATGTTTATGAGCTCCGCCTTTTTCATTTGTCTCTCGGTGTCCTCCGTAGTCGTCATCTCTTTCTGCAGCCTCTCTGTTCTCCGCGCCCTGATTCGTCCGGGGCCGGGGGACGGGGCCGGCGGCCGGGAGAGGGTGGACCAGTCCAAGTTGAGGGCCTTTTACATCATCACGGCCATATTGGGAACTCATTTGTTCCGGTTCGGGGGATACCTGCTCGTCCTGTCAGCCTACAACTCCCTGACGTGGAGCGAGCAGGTCCGCTGTGACTTGTTGCTGGCGGGAGTGTGGTTCGGTTTGCCCGGCAGTCTGGTGTTACCTCTGCTCTATCTGCACCGGGCAGGGAAACTGCTTTGTTGTAAGAACGGAAATGGATCAGAACAGGGATCAGAGTAGCACGTCCTCAGTTTGCATACCAGACCTGTCTTCTCTTCCCCAAAGTCCTGGTCCTCGTGAGCCTCCCGTCCCTCCGGGGGAATGTTCCTCACAGTAGCTTTTGAAGTGAATGTTTCATCCCATTGCATAGATGCCATTGTGTTGTTTCTCTCTCTCCAGAAAATGACTCCAACAACCCAGCCGTACTAACTAAATAGTCACTGTGATCAAATATAGAAAATTCAAATCTACTAGCAGAAGACTGTACTAGTCTACAGCCTGTTTGGATCCCCAAATAACAAGGGACGCACACTTACATGACAGCTCTTTTTAACATCCACACAAACACATTCACCAAAAACAGAAATATTTACAGTAAAGTAACACACAATGTGCATCTGGTTTTAATGCGTCATATTTATCTCGCTGGTCGCTGATCTGTCTCCAAAATGCAAAAAACTCCAGCTTGTGAAGTGATCTAATTTTAAAGCATTTAACATCTCGAGACACAAAACCTTTCAGTTTATATATTGTATGTCTGACATATTATGGCAATAAATGTTTCTTGATAAAAAACTTTGATTTAAGAAACTTATAACAAACCTGATTAGATCTTTTATGTACACTAATTGATTCCTTCCTTGTGTAACATGTGTTTTTAAATGACTAAATAAATTGAAGCAATAACGACTCTGACATGTTTTTGTGTGTCCCCTGGATTTATTACTGAGGTGATGCACATCCAAAGCAATTCAAAGTGAATGAGCAATGCTTTACTTACAAAATATGCAACACACACGCACACAGATTCAAATGTACACAGCACACCAGCTCAGACACACAACGGACCGATCAGAGAGTTTGTTATCCAAATTAAGTGTATTTTCATGTAATTCTGATGAATCATATGCCGAATAACCAATCAATGAATAAACAGCCCTGCCAAGTGAACATGCTGTTTAATATGTGTTGAAATGCTGCTTTCATCAAACTTATGAAGTCTAGATTTTTTTAGGCTAGTAAGTGTTAGCATGCTAACATGCCAAACCCAGTCCAAGGGGCCGTCCAATCCCAGCACACCCAGTACAGACAGGAAGCCGTCAGTCGGAGTCGTTTCCGGTGGGCGTCGGCCTTCGCCAGGCCGGCACCTTGTCACTAGTCCGGTTTGTGGTTTACATGGATATTGGGGCGTAGTCGGGGGGATGAGGGGGAGGCTTCACCGTTCTCATCGCTGCTTTATGCAGATGGTGTGGTCCTAATGGCATCTCCAACTCTCACTGGAGGTCACAGACCAGTGTGAAGCAGTCGGGATGCGGATCAGCACCTGTAAATCTGAGGGCCGAGGTTCAGAAGCAGCTCCCCCTGTTGGAGCAATTCTCGGGTTACGTGATATGCAAAACATTCACACACAGACGCACATTTACGCTGCAGCCGGCGACAGTCCACCAGTCCACAGGCCAGAGACACAGCGGACAGAATATCAGAAGGATCACAATCAAAAACTGCAAAGAAAGTAGGTGTATTTTCATGGTGGAAATTCGATCAGTTTAATTCATTAGAGTGACATCTGTTACGAATAATGGCGGTTAGTTTACACTCTTCATAAGATATTGTTCTTCATTTGTTTTTTTTAAATGCTTCATTACCTGATTTTAAAGTACGAATGTTATATCTGTCAATAATATTCTTGTTCAATCAAAAACAAATGTGAAAGGTAATTCTGTAGAAGATACCTACCTTCATGTTGTGATGATTTTGATCAATAAATCTACCTGTTGGAAGAGTGTGTTTAGCTTAAAGAGTGCGTAAGATGAGGACGTTTAAAAGGACCTTTTGTTAAGATTGTGTCTTATCTTTCTCTCTTATCCTCTCTGTCCCTGACTCTTGCCCCCAGTCATGTCAGTCAATTCCTCTTCCTCGTTTTCTCCTTCCAACTCTTCCTCCATCAATGTCATTGAATTCCTGCAGAACTGCTACAGAAGTCCAGCCGGCGCCTCCAGCATGATCGCTTTCACCGTCTGCAGCCTCCTGCTGGTCCTCCCTCCCTGCGTCTACGTCGTCTACCTGGGACTCAAACAACGGCGCTCCGGCACGGCGGCGAGCCACTCCGACGTCTTCACCTTCCACATGGTCGCCATCGAGCTGATGAATATCGTAGGGAACCTTTTCTGCTGTTGTGGCGTCCTCGCTGGTCTCCCAGAAATGCTGGTGGGTATTGTCTTTTTCGCCGTCCACTTGTGTGGCCAGCAGCTGTTTCACTCTCTGACCTGTGTGGAGCGCTACCTGGCCGTCGTTCACCCCGTCACCTACCTGGGCCTGAAGAACCAGAAGGGCGTCAGAGTCAGAAACGTCTCCATCGGTTGTGTTTGGCTGCTCTCCTTTGCAAACACGTTTGCCCTATTTGTGGAGAAAAACGATTCCAACTTCATCTACCACTATTGTGCCTTAACCTTCATCCTCATCGCCGTCTCCTTCTGCAGCCTCTCTGTTCTCCGCGTTCTGATTGGTCCGGGGCCGGGGGCGGGGGCGGCGGGCAGACAGCGGGTCGACCGAGCAAAGATGAAGGCGTTCTACACCATAATGGTCATACTGGTAGTGCTGCTGGTGAGGGCCGGGGGGACTGTAGTTACCTCTGTTCTGTATAACTCCGCACATGTGGGGGAGGCGGAGAAGTGCACCACGTGGCTTTCATTGACATGGTTCAGTCTGCCCAGCAGCCTGGTGCTGCCTCTGCTCTTTCTGCACAGGGCGGGAAAACGGCTTTGCACACCAGAAGCAGTATCTCATTAGATTATTTATTCAGGAAATCTTCTGGAGATTCCACATCATTTTTGTCTCTTCTAATTGTTGTAACATTTTATTGAGTAATGCATCTCTTTCACTTATAGTCATTTTTTATTCCACTGGAAATGTTTTATGTCTCTCTGTATTCTTTTTATTTGACTTTGTGGTAATTTGGATTCCCCCAGTTGGTTCATGTCTCAATCCAAATGAGCAAATCAAACAAATAGTCACATTGATTGATGATTGCTTCATTAAAATATAAAATACCCAACAGGTTTATGCAAAGGACTGGACTATGGTGTGGTTTACAGCCTGCGTAGGTCTCAAAATAACAAGCGACACACAGACTGACAGGTGTTTGATTTGAATAAGCTCATTTGAAACATGTCACACATCCAGTTGGTGAAAGATGAGGTGAATAAGCACAAATGATCCATAACAATTAAATACACAATGTGCATCTTTCCTTGGTGCACTGTGCCCTGTTACACTGATCTGTGTCTGAGGAATAAAATATGTTACGATTGTCTGTGTTCACAGTGTTTTTACTAACAGAGATAACAAGTGTAGTAACGAGTGTAGTAGTATTGAGTGTAGTAACGAGTGTAGTAATGAGTGTAGTTGTAATGAGTGTAGTTGTAACGAGTGTAGTAACGAGTGTAGTAACGAGTGTAGTTACGAGTGTAGTAGTATTGAGTGTAGTAACGAGTGTAGTAATGAGTGTAGTAATGAGTGTAGTTGTAACGAGTGTAGTAACGAGTGTAGTAACGAGTGTAGTTGTAACGAGTGTAGTAACGAGTGTAGTTACGAGTGTAGTAATGAGTGTAGTTGTAACGAGTGTAGTAACGAGTGTAGTAACGAGTGTAGTAATGAGTGTAGTTGTAACGAGTGTAGTAACGAGTGTAGTTACGAGTGTAGTAATGAGTGTAGTTGTAACGAGTGTAGTAACGAGTGTAGTAGTAACGAGTGTAGTAACGAGTGTAGTAATAACAAGTGTAATAACGAGTGTAGTAACGAGTGTAGTAGTAACGAGTGTAGTAACGAGTGTAGTAGTAACAAGTGTAATAACGAGTGTAGTAACGAGTGTAGTAGTAACGAGTGTAGTAATGAGTTTAGTTGTAACGAGTGTATTAACGAGTGTAGTAACGAGTGTAGTAACGAGTGTATTAACAAGTTTAGTAACGAGTGTAGTAATGAGTGTAGTTGTAACGAGTGTATTAACGAGTGTAGTAACGAGTGTAGTAACGAGTGTATTAACAAGTTTAGTAACGAGTGTAGTAGTAACGATTGTATTAACGAGTGTAGTAACGAGTGTAGCAACGAGTGTAGTAGTAACGAGTGTAGTAGTACTGAGTGTAGTAACGAGTGTAGTAGTAACGAGTGTAGTAACAAGTGTAGTAGTAACGAGTGGATTAACGAGTGTAGTAACGAGTGTAGTAATAACGAGTGTATTAACGAGTGTAGTAACGAGTGTAGTAATAACTAGTGTATTAACCGAGTGTAGTAACGAGTGTAGTAGTAACGAGTGTAGTAGTACTTAGTGTAGTAACGAGTGTAGTTGTAACGAGTGTAGTTGTAACGAGTGTAGTAACGAGTGTCGTAACGAGTGTATTAACGAGTGTAGTAACGAGTGTAGTAGTAACGAGTGTATTAACGAGTGTAGTAACGAGTGTAGTAACAAGTGTAGTAACGAGTGTAGTAGTAACGAGTGTAGTAGTACTGAGTGTAGTAACAAGTGTAGTAACGAGTGTAGTAGTAACGAGTGTAGTAACGAGTGTAGTAGTAACGAGTGTAGTAACGAATGTAGTAATGAGTGTAGTTGTAACGAGTGTAGTTACGAGTGTAGTAACGAGTGTAGTAGTAATGAGTGTAGTAACGAGTGTAGTTGTAACGAGTGTAGTAACGAGTGTAGTTACGAGTGTAGTAACGAGTGTCGTAACGAGTGTAGTAATGAGTGTAGTTGTAACGAGTGTAGTAACGAGTGTAGTTACGAGTGTAGTAACGAGTGTAGTAGTAATGAGTGTAGTAACGAGTGTAGTTGTAACGAGTGTAGTAACGAGTGTAGTTACGAGTGTAGTAACGAGTGTAGTAGTAACGAGTGTAGTAACGAGTGTAGTAATGAGTGTAGTTGTAACGAGTGTAGTAACGAGTGTAGTAACGAGTGTAGTTACGAGTGTAGTAATGAGTGTAGTTGTAACGAGTGTAGTAACGAGTGTAGTAATGAGTGTAGTTGTAACGAGTGTAGTAACGAGTGTAGTAACGAGTGTAGTTACGAGTGTAGTAATGAGTGTAGTTGTAACGAGTGTAGTAACGAGTGTCTCTGAGCAAGACACTGTACGTGTGTGAAGGAGACAGACAACAAAACGCCCCTAAAGCTGCCAATCAAAAACAATGCAACGTTAAAAAGCAGCGTCTGGCGTTGCACAACATGCAAAACCTCCAGATACCGATGAGTATTTGTAGCGCTCACAGTGCAGAGACACAGCGGACAGAAGATCAGAGAGACCTGAATCCACTGCAGGCAGAGTGAGTGTGTTCTAATGAGCTAATGTGATCATTTCACATATTTTCTTTTTGAAAGTAAATATATTGTGTGATTGTATAATATTCTTGTTTGATCAAAAAATTTCATTTAGAGTGTTTCTGGTCATTTTGGGTTGTTTGTTGTTGTTTTGCAACTATTTCAACTACTTTTCTAAACATCTTTAATCTTTATAATCTCAATCAATGTGCAATGTGCCAACATTTGGATATTTTGGAGCTCTTGGGTACCTGGGTCTGTGCCCGATGTCATCTTCTCTCTAAATATCTGGTTTAGCAGAGTTTGATAGACTAAGCTTCATTTGTTCACGTTGTGAGTAATTCTGTTCTGAAACAGGGGAAACATCAGTTATTCTTATAAACTTGGGTAATGTTAAAACTGTAAGTACCTGTCTATTAATGTTCAGTATAATTCAGGTGGGCAATGTTACAGCATCCCGCCTTGGGTGGAGATTACCATCAAACGAATGATCCTCTGATTTTTCATTAATACTATCTTCCTCTCGTGTTCCACTCAGGCCTCCCGTCAACAGTCATGTCAGCCAACTCTTCCTCCTTCAACTTGTCTGCAGACCTGCAGATCTGCATCGACAGCACATCCTGCGCCTCCGGCATGATCGCTTTCACCGTCTGCAGCCTCCTGCTGGTCCTCCCTCCCTGCGTCTACGTCGTCTACCTGGGACTCAAACAACGGCGCTCCGGCACGGCGGCGAGCCACTCCGACGTCTTCACCTACCACGTGGTCGCCATCGAGCTGATGAATATCGTCGGGAACCTTTTATGCAGCTGTGCCGTCGTCGGTGGTCCCATAGAATTGATGATTGCGGGTATGACCTTTTTTAGCATGAACATGTGCGGCCAGCAGCTGTTTCACTCTCTGACCTGTGTGGAGCGCTACCTGGCCGTCGTTCACCCCGTCACCTACCTGGGCCTGAAGAACCAGAAGGGCGTCAGAGTCAGAAACGTCTCCATCGGATGTGTTTGGCTGCTGTGCTTCGCATACATAAGTACACTATTTTTGGGGACCTTTTTTTCCTCATACATCCTCTCCTTTTGCGTCACATTGTTTAACTTCGTCCTCATCTCCTTCTGCAGCCTTTCTGTTCTCTGTGTTCTGATCGGTCCAGGGCCGGGGACGGGGCCCGGGGGGGGGAGCAGGCAGCGGGTCGACCAATTAAAGATGAGAGCGTTCTACACCATCACGGTCATACTGGGGGTACTGTTGCTGAAGCTTGGGGGGTCTACAGCTAACTTTGTCATATATTCCTTAAAAGACCTGACGCGGTCTGATGGTTGGATTGTGTGGTTGTGTTTGACCTGGTTGTCTCTGCCCAGCAGTCTCCTGCTGCCGCTGCTCTTTCTTCACAGGGACGGAAAACTTGTGTGTCGCAAGACCGTCGAGGACTGAGGACACGGGTCAGATTAGGTGGTGATCTTCTTTCGGCTGTGTGTCTTGGTTCTTTGTTGGAATGTGATCCTCCTCGTTGGCAAACGTCTTGATCCAGACAAGCAACATTTGTTCTATTGAACAGTCACAGGGGATTTAATCAGAATAAAATATGAAACAAGTTAGCAAAAGGCTGGACTAAAGTCTCCTTTACGGCCTCTTTTTGTCTTAAAATAACAAATGACCTTCTGAGACTGACAGGTGTGATTTGAATGAACACCGGTTTTAAGTTACAGATCATGTGAATCCAGTCTCACCTCCACGTAAAATACAAAAATACAAAAACAGGCTCATTCCCAATAATGAAATACACGATGCAAGTACATATTTAATATGAAAGTATATTTAATGTCCTGTAGGCTGGTATTGTCTTGTGTGCCTGAAGAAAACGTAGTTCCCTGAAATGTATTTGCATGTATAATCCTAAAATATAGTGGTTGCAGTTTTTATGTGCATTAACACAAACATTCACAATGTTTGTTTTTTTAAATGACTGAATAAATCATCATTATCGGCTGAAGTGTCTTTGAGCAAAGTAGTGGCGTCGTGTTCTTCTGCATCTGGGAAGGAAATTAGATGCAAATCAAAATAATTTTGAAGTGAATGAGCGATTTCCTACTGGGTAGAAAACATGCAAAACACACACACACACACACACACACACACACACACACACACACACACACACACACACACAGTAGTGTTTAACTGAGTATTTATTGACAACACACCAGCTCATCATTCAGACACACGACGACGGTCAGAACACCAAACAGTTTGGAATCTAAAACGACGTCAAAGTGAGTTTATTTTAATTCAATATTCTTATGTACATAAAGTGACTTTTGAGAAAGTAATAATACTTCTAATAAGTGTTCGTTTGTTGAACTTTGTTCAATGTGCTCGGGAGTAGTTTTATGTTTGTAAGTATGTGGCTTCATTTCTGTTGTGAAAGTTCTGAAGACTCGATTGTTCATATTTTAGTCGTTGGAATGTTAAAGAAATGAGTTGCAGACAATATGTTCCACGGTCAAATGTGAGCGTTTTTAGTTGCTGTTTAGTTGCTGTTCCTGTTGCTGTGTTTTTCGTTGTTGCACTGCATTTCGTTGCCTCAGTACTTGTACCCTGTGCAATGACAATAAAGTTGAATCTAATCTAATCTAATCTTTAGTCTTTACAGCTTCATTTCATGGATAAACGTACTAAATCTTAAAAAGCTTTACCGTGGACACAGACAATGAAGATGTTTTTGGTCATTTTGCTTTTATTTTCAGATTCAAACTGGGGCCTTTAGATATCAGTCAAATGTCCGAGTTTTTCTTCTTTCAAAAGGTCTGCGAAGGTCGTATTCTACACAATCATTTCTCAATATGCTATTAGCAAAGAGAACCTTATTGTATATGATATGATCAAGCACAGGTAACATTAGTTAGAGTGATTTAAGCATTTAAGAGCTGATAAAGCGTTATATTTTAACGGTGTCATCATCAACATGAGTGCAAGAAAATTGAACCCGTTTAGTCACATTCATCACACCTT